ATATTTCTTGTGCTATATTTAAAATGTTTTGTGAGAAAATAATGTGTTTTAGGAATGGAGCTGAGATGATGCCAGAGACTTTGCTTCAGTGACTATCAAATAAGTTTCCGGGCAGGTTTTTCTGTTTCTTATGGATTCCTGGAGGTAATGGTGAAAGCTGCCATTAAAATTCATTAGATGAAAAGTAAACTATATTACAATTGATGACATTCTCCTCTAAATTGTTAGCCCTATTTGTGAGAAACCTCTTGTCTGCCAAACTCCACCTATCGTGTCTGCTTCTTTCTAAACAATTCTCTAGCATTTTCATCTAGGGATGCTCCTTCAATGTTAAATTCCTTTCATGCACCACATATAACACAGGGCATTCCATGAACTATCCTGAGATGCCTCTCGACTTTTAGAAACAGGATGCTGAGGTTGCAAGGAAATACTTCTGTTCCAGGCATCAAGGTTGGAAAAATTACTTAAGGATGACAGGAGAAGATTTTTCATGCGCCCGGTTACTAAGGCCTGAAACTGCAGTTCATTCAGCTGAAAAAATTCCCTGTGAGCTTCCCTTAGAGCCACTGCAGAGCCACCTGCGGGCCTTTCTGGGTTCAGAGCAACTCAAGAACAGTGGAAGCAGAGAGGACGCTCTGTCCCTGCCTGCTGGACGGACACTCAGACGACGTTCCTTTGCACCCAGACACCCCCTCCCCACCCCACCACACCTCCCGTCGATTATATCAGGAGGACAGGAAGTGGCCAGACCTCATCTCACTGACGCAGTGACACCTGTTATAGTCTGGATGTTGTGTCCCGCCCCAGGATTCATATGCTGAAGCCCTGACACTCAATGTGATGGTTTTTGGAGGTAAGGCCTTTGGGAGGTAATTAGGTTTGCTTGAGATCATAAAGGTAGGACCCTCAGAATGGGATTAATGTCCTTGCGAGAAAAGGAAGACAGACCAGAGCTCACTCTCTCTGCCATGTGAGGACACAGGGAGAAGACAGGCCAGGAGGGGACCTCGTGAGGAGCCCAATCTGCTGGCACCTTGATCTCGGACGTCTAGCCTCTGGAACCCTGAGAAGTCAATGTCTGTTGCTTAAGCCCCCCCGTCTATGGCATTTTGTCATAGCAGCTGAGCTGGCTAGGATGCCCCCTCATCCACAGGATGTGGCACTATCGTTTCTTCTTTATGAGTTACCCCATTTGTGGGAATTCCTTTTGCACACGTGTGCCATGACAATCTGTAGAGCGCAGTTTGTCAAGAAAAAAACTCTGAGGGTCAGAATTTTTCTGCAAAACACAGAGCTAGCTCCCAGAGAGGCATCATTCAGCTTGGTGAGCTCTACACTGAGCTGCTTCCCTCACGGAGAAGACAGTTTCAAGCTCTCCTGAGAGAGGCAGGTGACGCCGAGCTCCTCCTCTGTCCACCACACCTGGCTGCACCCAGAGCTGTGGGCACAAAGACGGAGCAGGAAGCCTCCTTTCATCTTCTCCCACCCACCTCCTGGCTTGTCCCTTCACCACTGCGGCTTGAGGACGTCACCTCAGCGGGCGCCGGTGGACGGGAGAAGGCTGCACCTCTCAGTCAGACAGGCCTGGGCTGGAGTCCTTGCTCCACCACCAACTAACTGTGCCACCGTGAGTGGACTGTCTAACCTCTCTGCGACACAGCCTCTTCATTTATGAGGTGGTGGTCATAATTCCTGCCTCACGGAGTGTTTAAGAAGATGCGTAAGATACCTGCATAAACATACCTAGCACAGCTGCCTTCCTACTGCCCCACCTGCCCGGCCTTTCTCAAGACGGCTTAGCAACGCCCAGAAGTGGTGTCACCTCCTCCTGTGTTACCGCCCTCGCTGTTTCCCAGGCCGCATCTGATTGGGTCAGAGTTTGAGGTGGTGTGGCAGAAGTTGCCGTGGCAGAGCTAAAAAGACTTGACAGCCAGCCTCCCCTGAGGAAGAGCCCCACGTGCATGCTGGGGCCTTCAAAGGAGATGGACGAGTCTCCACTGACCTGAGGTTTCCTTCTGGAGAAAGTGGCATGAACCTCCCCTACACTAAAGGAAACAGGGTGGGCCAAACCAACTGATAACAAAGAAACTCATAAGCTCGGTCCTTTTCTATCTTCAGAAAACAGAAAGTCAAATACGGGTGAGTCATTCCTGCAAATTAGAACTCGGAGAGAGTGCTCGGCTCTCTCCCCACCAAGGCTGTCGAGGAGAAGTGTGGACCCTTGGTATCAGCTTCATGCTGGAAATGAACCTGACTGATAATCGATTCATAACCCAGGTCTGAATCTCTTCCCCTCAGAACTTTCAGCAATAAAAAAAATAATAATAATAAAAGCAGGGAGGGAAGGGTGAAGCAATTCCACTCCCGTCATTATCTTGGATTTTACACTTCTTGTTTGCTAGCTTGATAAGGGATGCCATAATCTTTTATGATATCAACGTCCTTTTTTATTGCACTAGATGGTAGGGGAATTGCCCCCAGATTAATAAAAACCATATGCTGGATTTTGATTAGAGATCACTTTGGAATAATGATTGATCTGGCTTGGGAATGAGGATAAGCTTCCCCTCTCCTGTTCTTTTTTAATCATATGCCTTTCAGAGCCCCTCTGGCTTTCCTCCCCACCCTCGCCTTTATCTGCAAAACCAGGGTAATTAAAAGGTCTTATAAATCTCTGGTGTATATATTTGTTACCAAAAATGGCATTGTAATCTGAGCTATCGGTCCATCCAGGGCCATCTCCACTGCGCTGGGGGCTGTAATAACAGCATTTCACAGTAGTGTCTGAATGTGTTGGGACAACTGATATGAGAGATTGGTCCTCTGAGCATGTGATGTGTGGCATTGGCAGGGACCCACTCCTCAAACCTCTAGGGAAAGTGGGAAAATCTCCTGCCTGAAGAACAAACTTCCCTAGTTAGTGCAACATGTTCTCCAAGCAAAGGGAAGTCTCCTGACTTGCCAGCGCCAACCTCCAGAGGAGACTGTGCTCAACATTTGAAAATGCTTTTTTTCAGCAACATAAATAATTGAAACCTACCAACAGTCAAGATGGTCCATTTTTGAAAATCCTTTTCTTTATTCCCTACTGCAGAGTTGCTCCAAGTATGGAATACAAAAAAATACCTGGGAAGCTTGTTACACTGATGGATCCTAGGCCTGTCTCTAAAGATGAAGTCTCATTAGGTTTGGGGTTGGGCCCAGGGATCTGCATTTTTAACATGTACAGAAGATGGTCTACAGACCACCCTTGAAGAAACACTACACTTACAGAGACCTTCAAAATATCTTAGTTGTGTACAAGCACTGTCTTTGGAATAAAAGTGCACTAGCTACAAATCCCAGCCCTGCCATTTACTAACTATATGATCTTGGGCGATTTAGTTAATCACTATAGGGCTCAGTTTCCTCACTGAGAGAAGAAAGATAATAATACCTGTATCGTAGGGTTGTTGTAAGGATTAAGCGAAATACTATACGAACAATGTTAAGTGTCAGGCCTGGTAATTATAAACACCCAATATAGGGAGAGCTATTTCTAAGGAAAAACGTTTCAAGGAAAACCATCAAAGAATTGGCTGCTGTCTTATTGTTGAGTTGGTTTTCTATCACAAAAACAATGGAAATAAACCAAGAGAAATATTGGCCTCAGAGAGATCAGTGGTAGGGATTTGAGGAAAGCAAAAGTTAACAAATTATGAAAGAATGAGAGTAAGAGAATGTCAAAAGGTGGGAGAGTGAGTGCAGGTATGCAAATCTCACAACTGTTTTCAGCTGTATGCTGGAAAGTTGTATCGTGTTGGGTGGAAGTATGACTTAGTTACTGTCTTTTTCAGAGACTAAGTGTGGTTTAAGGAGATATGTACGGGTGCCAAGTTGACAAGAAGTGGACCGTGATAGCTTTTTGAGGTGTCAGCTTGGCTAGGCTACAGCCCCCACTTATTCAATCAAATACTCATCTAGGTGCTGCTGTGAAGGGATATGGCAAATATAATTTACGTCCCTAATCAGTTGACTTTAAATGAGAGAGATTGTCCTGGTTGGCCTGGGTTAATCCGTTGGAAGGCTTTAAAAGCAGACTGAGGCTTTCTTCAGAGAAACAAGCGATACCTGCCTGTGGACAGCAGCTTCAGCCAGTGCCTGTGGAGTTCTGGCTTACCTGTAATCTTCCCTTCAGACTTTGGACTTGTGTAGTCCTCCCCTATTGTGTAAGCCAATTCCTTGTAGTAACTCCATATCTATATATCTCTAACTATACACGCACATACATATATGCATATTTAGGTATATATACAACACACATATCACACATACGTATATATACATATATAATCCATTTATCTAAATCAATCCATTTATATAAAATCTGTCTGTCTATCTACCTACCATCTCCAACTGGCTTTGCTTCTCTGGTTGGACCTGACTGATACACTCTTTGCCCGGTCCGTATTACAGAAACTGGATTCAAAGCGGAGTTAAATTACATGACTTGTAAGTAGACCCCCTTTGTCTCCTGCCCCTCTGCAGCCAGGGTCATGCCAATGTCTACCAGGAGAGACGAGAGGTGTGTCTTTTGCAGAAGTGAAGACAGGATATTCTCTCTTCACCTTTAAAGTGTTTTATTTCTAAAATGGCTTTATAGGACAGCAGCTGGGAATTCCGCGGTGAGTACTAAAGAAATAACAATAGCGCCTTGGATTTCTCTCTCCCTCTCTCTCTCTCTCTCTCTCAGTAATCCAAAGAGATATACAGATTTAATGCTAACTCTGGGAATACCTCCCTGAGTGGGTCAAGGGCGTCTGTTACTAGTCTCATCCTAGAGATAAACACCAGACGGCAGAGAAGGGACCAGCCTGTCTGGAGGTGACTCAGCAAGTCAGCAGGGGAGACCCAGCCGAACCTGGGAAATTAATTCCCAAACTCACAGACCTTGCTTGTCACCTGCGTTGTGAAGGAAAAGTTAAAAAAGGAAGGAAGGAAGGAGAGGAGGGAGGGAGGGAAGGAGGGAGGAAGAAAAAAAAGGTACTTCACTTTGTTCAAGGAGGCAGTGTTTAAAAAGAGGTCACTCAGACGATGGATTTTTAGAGAGAGAAATCCAACAGGATATCATTAAAACGTATACTGCAGAAATGCAGTAGCTTGAAGAGAATTTTCCAATGTGTTGTGGAGTTTAAAAAAAGTTAACATCTTATTACAACTATGCTTCCATTTTTGTTTCTAAAATGCATAGGGAAAACATCTGAAAGAGCCTACACCAAAATGTTAGGAGTAAATTGTGCGTGAATTTCACTTTGTTTTTGCTTCTCTGTCTTTTCTCATTTTCTCTATTAAATACGTACGTGTTACTCCTATTTTTTAAAGATTACTTTAAAAAATTACTTATTACTCTATTGAGACTCAAAGAAACAAGAGTTGGATGTGAGGACCTACCGGGATGTGCCCCAGAATCAGCCGCTGAGCTTGGTAAACGCCAATTCCTGTGTCCCCACCCCCACCCCTCCAGAGCTTCTGATCACAGGGTCTGGGAGAAGCCTCAGACTGTACAGTCTAACAAGCTCTAGGAGATTCTATTCCCGCCGATCCCGGGACAATGCTGAGAAACGCTGTGACACTCATTACTCCTTATTGAGAAACCTCTTCTCAGGTTACAAGATGCCCAATGAATTGAACGTGGGTAAATGTGGGAAGACCAGGGGCCACCTGGGTCTGCCTCCAAATAACTAAAAGCACTTTTAACACTTCTGAACAAAGCTTGCCCTCACTGCTGTGGCATCAGGGCCAAACTCCCCACTTCCGCACCTCTACACTGTGCCTGGCACATGTGCATCTGAAGTGGGGTCCACCACCATCAGCATCATTAATCCCTGGGAGCTTGTTGTAAACGTAGAACCTCAGATCCCAGCCCAGGCCTACTGATTCAGAACCCACACTTGCACAGGATTCAGAAGCCCTGGACCAGAAGACTACAGGCAGCAGAAATGAATGCCACAGTCCCCAGCCACAAACTCCCCAGACAGATTCTCAGGGGCACCAATGCTCCTTGACCACCGGATGGCAAGCCTGCAGGAGCCTGGCCCTTGGTCTGGGGTTTGGAGGCCAGGTCAAGGACCCCTTCTTTTTGTGGATGTCAGGCCAGCCAACTTCCTCCAGTCGCCTCCCTCGTCCCGTCAGCCAGGGACCCACAGCCTAAGGACACCCTTCAAAGCTCGGCCCTGTGGCTAAGCCAGGGTAGGCCCGGTCCAGTCATTTCCGAAGCCCCTCCTTCCTGCCTCTAGAAAAACTCAGACAGTTTAAGTCATCCATATCCTCGTATTAATAAATGTGGCAGTGTGAGGGCAGTAACACAGGAAAAGACCACGACAAAAAGAAGAAACAAAAACCAACACCACACACACACACACACACACACACACACACACACAGAGACTCCATCTCTTGAAAGCCGGATATTTCTTTTTCTTGCCTGGCAGGATATGGCATCTCCAGCATATTCTTTTCCTCCTATTTGTGCTCTTTTCTCTTTTCCTTTTTAAATAGACACATTTCAAATGTCAGTGGGTGACAGTGGGGCCAAGTCACATTGGATTCAGGAGACCAAACAGCTAAAGGGTTTGATCTTCACAGCTGCTTCTCCAAGGGAGGTCCGGGAGGTGACCGGTGGGGGAGATGACCGCTGTGGAGGTGACGGGTGGGGGAGAGGTCCTGATGAGCTCAAGTGGGCATTTATTGTGCTCACTCAGGCTCCCTCTCCTTTAACCTTTATCTACAGACTTGAACCCAAATGGGTATGGGCTTGAAAGAAAGTACTCTTCCCATCTTCCCCTCTCCCCTTCCCACATCCCCAGAGGGGACGGAAGAGAAGCAAGCAGAGGCTAAGTGAGGGAGATAATAAGGAGGAGGGAGGCCTTGTCTAGAGTCTGAGTGACTGACGGTGAGTGGCAGCTCTGAGGCTAGTTTTCTTTTTTTTTACACCTTCCTCCAAAAATCCCAAGAGAGAGACTGAGCCAGATTGGTCCCCACCTTTCCAAGTCAGCCAAATGGAAATTAGACTCCAAACACCTCCCTGCCCCCCGGGGGGCCAAGGCTAATCAGATATCCTCTCGGAGGGCTGAGTGTCCAGGGACGTCCCATATTTTAGCCAAGTAATTCAGACTCCCTTGCCTAATGCCTTACTGAATCTTGTCATCACAGCAGCCACGCAAAAATTATATCTGCATGCCGTGCGGAGCAATAAATCCTGGGGCCGTGCTCTCAGTCATTCCATATTTCAGGACAGGGAAGCTGTTTCCACAAGGCTGTTAATAACCCAAGTGACTGGAGAAGTAAGGGAAAAGTTTGTGTCCACCGTTGGCCCCGCACAGACCGTCCTGGAGATGGGAGAGAGTTCAAGGCACTGTTTTCATGGGCATCACAGCTGGTGTAGGATTGTGCTCCACCAGAACATCCACGACAAGAGGTTCATGTGTCCCCGTGGGAATGTAAACAGGAGGTGCCTCTTTGTTCTCTAGGAGCGGTGCCTGCCCTCTGGCTTTAAAAGAACCCTGGGAATCATGGCAGTTTGACAGCAAAGGGGGCTTGAGGTGGAAGCTGGAGGAAGGGGAGAGCAGGCCAGAGCCTTCGTGTAACAAGTGACAAGGATGCCGATGAGATGTGGGGACCTGGGGAAAAGGCTTCTTGGCTTGAGCAGCGAGTAAGTGCAGGTGAGCCGGGGCAGAATCCTGGACAAGAAAGAGATGTCTGCTGTGACTCAGGCCAGCCTTCCCCGGATCCCACCTGGAAACCAAGGGGCTCGGCCAAGCTGAGCCACCCCCACACCCGTGAGTCACAATGCTGCAGTCTCCCCAGGGCCTGCTGTTGAGAGAGGGCCAGAAAGAACAGAAGAGGAAAGGGAGAAGAAAGGAAGGGAGGGAAGGGGAGAGAGAGGGAGAAAGACAGAAGCAGAGGAAGAAAATAAAGAGAAAAAGATCTGTTGAACCTTGCTTAACCTGGTGTTTTCCAACTTGATTAGACCATGAAATCATTTTCCCCTCATGAGATCTAGTGTCACTGCACAGAAGTGTGTGCGGTTCCAAGGACACATTCTGGGAAATTCTGCGTCATATCAACATTCCTTCTTTTTATACATTTGGTCTAAAAAGCGTGGTGGACTATGTCAATTTTACTCTAAGGAGTGTGCGTACTTGTGTGTCCCTTCAGGTCACTTAGCTCAGATTCTCACCACAGTGTATTAAATTTTCCCGTAACAACTGCTCTGTTAAATATCCAGTGCTGACCAGTTTACATGAAAGTGTGAAACACATATTTACTTTAAGGTGTAAAACACATTAATTAATGTTTCTGCATGCCCCGTTTATTCTGTATATAGGCCATTTTCGAGGTTAAATATTTAATTAAAGCCTTTTGTATTGACCACAGGCCTTCCTACTAAAAACGTTTGCTTTGCCTGGGATACAGACCCTGGCAGCTCTGACCTAGCACCTCCCGCTCTCAAGCTGTGGACCTTTGACAAGTCCATTACCCTCTCTGGGCCTCCATTCCTTCAGTGGTCGGATAAGGGTGTTGAACCAGATAATCTCTGAGGCCTATACAGCATCAACATTTATATTTCAAAACCCTTGCCACAGCAAACCTCACTACCCATTACTGCCTCTCTGTGATCTAAATATTAGACTTGTAAAATGTGAACAGATTTAATTTACTAAAAGCCTCTAATCAAGACCAAAACCTTTTACTTAAACAATTAGAAAACAATTAGCTGGGGAAATAAAAACAATTTTAATTTGCTAAATGGGTTTCCTCCCTCCTAATAGATATGACAAGACCCTAACTAATGCTTCTGACCACGCGGAAACCGCAGAGGCATCGTCGGTCTGTGGGCGGAGGCGCCATGGCTCGATCCTCTATTAGGGAATGGAAAGCGCCCACATTGACCTCGGCATTTCTGCAGCCATCCACGTTGAACAGACGCCTCATGTTTGCGATGCTCACTGCTTCCCAATCGTCCATCTGTCCTGACACCTGAACACAGGCCCGTCCCGCACAAGCCCAGCACTGAGCACACCTCTGTGGTCGTGCCTCTCAGACCCCGGGAATTTAGAGGCTCTCCTCCAGCCCCTGGAGCACGGTTCTGAGTGCACATGAGATCCCTAACAAAAGCCTCTTTAATTAATAAAATGTGAGAGCATCTGGCCCCAAATTCCAGTAGATTCTAGCTAGAAAATTGCTTGATCTTTACATGTCACTCAAAAGAATCAATAAACAAAACTTCTGTTCTCACCATTACTCAATAGCAGTGTAGAGAATGCATTTAATATACTGCTCTTATTTAATAGAAAGTAATTTCTCTTTCAATTTATAACACAAAGATGAAATAATCTCCATTTAGAATTTCATTCAGGCTCTCACTTTTTTTGGTTCCTTTTCCCTTATCTCCTTTGAAATACACATATTTTAACCTTGGGCAAGTCATTTCATTCCTTTGGACCTTCGTTTTCCATTTATAGAGCAAAACAAAGATTTATTTGCACCATCTCCATTCTAGAAGCTCCTTTGGCTTTTACTTTACCTGCCTTCATCTTCTCCAAATACACACGTTTTCATCTTGGGTAAGTTTCTCTCCGCCGTGGGGCTTCGCTTTCTCTTGGGTGAAATGAGCAGGCAGGATTCTCTGGGGTCCCTTCAAGCTCTCCACAACAGAGTGTGATGGAGGGATTTCTCACGCAAACGTTGGGAACTGGGGCACCAGCTTACTTTTCTTTTTTCTCTCTTTTTATTTTACTTTTCTGCCCACCTCTAACTTTCCTAATTTTCCTCTACTCTTTTCCTCTTCCCTGGCCTACATCACAGATTCAGTCCAAGGAGGGCTGAGAGGGTTGGCTGAGGATCCAGACCACCCGGATCTGAAGAGCGCCTCTGTAACTGACCCGACCCGGAGCAGATCACTGCGGCGCTCTCAGCCAGTCTGCATGTGCACAAAATGCAACGATCTCAGGCGCGCCATCTCACAGGGC